TAAGTTTTATTATTTTTATTATGAACTGATTTATCTGATTAAGATTATGATTTAGTCTAATTAATTTATTATAAGTTTTTGTAATTTTTATATTTTTAAAATTATTATTTTATGATAAATTACATTATTATTTTTAATGCTTTTCGATGTCCGATCAACTTGTAGGTAAAAGTAGGGCTGAGCATTTGAAACCGAACCGATGGGTTACTCGAAAATCGAACTGAAAAAAAGAATTCGGTTCGGTTTCAACGGTTTTTGGTTTTTATTTTTTCGATTTTGGTATTAACTAAATATATTTTGGTTCGGTTTCAGTTGAACTTTTTAAAAATCGAAAACCAAAAATAAGCCCTTGAAAACCGAAATTAAAATAAATATGACAAAATATAATAAAATATGTGATATAATATAATATATTATTAAAAAAATAATTGATTATTATTTATTTATAAAAAACCAAAACTGAACCGATTTTATTGATAATCGAACCGATCAATCTCAAAATTAGAGAAAATTTTTTTTTGGTTATTTTAAACCAGTTTTGATTTTAACCAAAAATCGGTTTTGCCCACCCCTAGGTAAAAGTAATAACAATCTCTTAAAAGTATTGCCGCTCCAGGTTGAATTGTACAAAATCATTCTCCAGAAACCAGAAGTAATACTGTTTGCAATTGCAAACGAAAAGTCCCTCCCCTCCCTTCTGCCTTCGTTTTGACCCACCTTCTTACGTCTTACTGAAACCAAGACGTTGTGGATGAAGTTTCCAAATAGAAACAAGGCACAAGTTAAGTCATGGAGGTAGAGCTGCCACTGGGTGAAGCTGAATAGACAAGACCCATTCCAATCTTGAGAACGCAGTGTGCAATTGCAGCCACGGGCTCTTCTTGCATCAATCAATTCTCAGTGTTATTAACTTCATTCCATTATAAATTTTTAATAATGGTTGCTCTCCCTTGACCTCACAATCTGATCCGGTTGCATATCCATATTATGTGGCTTTCAAAATGGACTTGATATCTTATTCACTCTGCTTACACCCCTAAAATCTTTTAATTAATTGTAAAGTCAATTTGCAATGCAAAGGTAGCTACTAAATCTTATACACCTTTTATGATGTTGAACCAAGTAAAAATGATTACTTAAATTTAATTCAAAACTTAAGCCTACTCAATTAAGACTTGAGAGATACATACCTTCATAGTACTACAACAAAAGTTGTACTTTATTATTATTAATAAACATTCCATATGCTCTTAAAAACTAGATATTTTCATATAGTTTACAACTTTATTCCATCACTTCCATAAGTTTCTGCATAGAGTTACAAAATTTTGCAGCCCTACTTCGGATCTCCATCTTGTTAGGTTCTCTTTGAATTTTGATGATGGTTTAAAACCATAATTCAAAAGAATTTAATCTATTTTCGTGCTAAGTGTGCAGGAAAGTTAATTTAAGGATTCTAATCTTTTCCCACGATTAGAATTGAATCATATCCTTCTTGTTCAGAGTTCTGGGTTCGAATCAATTATATTTGATTCGAACCAATCCCGAACTTCTTTTTTCCGAAAATGGTTCGAACCAATATTTCTGGCTTCGAAGCAAAAATCTTGGAAGGTTAAATTTTGATAGCTTAACTATCCGTTTATTCTTAATGGGTCATAGGGGATCTAAATGTCTTAGCAATCTCCAAGACAAGTCAGAAGAAATAGGTGGAACCTAATTAGGGCAATTGTGAGGTGGCTTTGAAAGGCTAAATGGGCTTTAATTGCAAGGCTCCTAACCAACTATTAAAAGGACATCAAAAATCAGATTTGCATGAATAGAAGAAGGACGAACTGCTACAGAAACTAAGTTTGAAATTGTTTTGGTTTTCCTTCTTCTTTTCTTCTTGTGAGCTTTTGGGTTAATTGTCTTACAAAGGTTTTGTATTCTTCTTGGATTGGGATAATCCTTGAAGGGGTTGAGTGAGTTGAGATTCATTTCTGAGGGTTTAATCTTGCACCCGCAAGCAAGAGTTTGTTCTGGTTTAATCTTGCACCCGTAAGCAAGAGATTTCTAGTGGATTGAACTCTCGAGCAAGGAGGCTTGGGGAGTGGATGTACTTCGGGTTGGAGGAACCGCTATAAATCACGACTTGATTTTCTCTTCCCTCTCTTTTATTTTTCTGCACTATATTACTCTTGTTTATTCTGCAAAATAGCTTATAAATTGCAGCTTATAAATTGCAGCTTTGATTCAAGTCTTGAAAGAAAAAGAAACAAGTTTTTAAGTTTAAATTGATAAGACCCAATTCACCCCTCCTCTTAGGTAGCTAGTTGGGATTACAATTGGTATCAGAGCAGATTCTCTTAGAAATAGATTTAACAATCTTGAGTAGATCCATGGCTTTCCAAGCTCATTTTGTTGAAGGTCATTCAATCACTAGGCCACCTTATTTTGATGGAACAAATTACCAATACTGGAAAAATAGGATGCAGATTTGGTTAGAAGCAAATAGCTATGAGATCTGGGATTGCATTGCTAGAGGACTTTATAAAGTATTAGCTAGAGACTAGAATAACCAACTTGTTCCTAAGGATCCTACATCATATGATCAAGCTGAAAAAAAGAAACTGCAAATTAATGCTCAAGCTAAAAATGCATTATTTTGTGCTTTACATCCTAGTGAATATGATAGAATTAGTGCATGTGATTCTGCTAAGGGAATGTGGGATAAATTACAAGTGGCTCATGAAGGAACTAATGAAGTCAAGAAATCAAAAATTAACATGTTGGTTCAAAAATATGAGCTATTCAAAATGAAATCGGATGAAGACATTAAAGACATGTTTACTCGTTTTACCAAAATCACTAAATAGGGTGCTTCCGGAGGAAGATAAGGTCAAAAAAATTCTTCGCTCCTTTCCAAAATCCTGGAGTTCAATCAAGATGACAATAGAAGAAGCTCATGATTTAAGTGCCATGACTGTTGAGATGCTGCAAGGGAAGCTTCTTACACA